TGTTGTCGAGTGGATGAGCATGTACGTTTATGGAAAAAGCTTTGTTGAGGGAGCTGTTTCGGCTGTCCTTTAATGGCCGAATCTGAAAGTCAGCTGGGTGTTTGTAACTCAGCTCAAGTAAAGATGACTGTGTAAAGATGGCATTTAAAAAAACAAATTAAGTGATATGTCATCTGTCACGTTGACTGTGCCATAAGTGAAGTTCCAGCCTGGTAAGTAATTGACACCAAAAAGTGATTGATAAAAACATTGTTTGGATTTAATATGTTTTGTTGCCAGTGGTGCCCAGTAGATAGGAAGGCTAGGGCAATATGTTCACCTGCTTGATAAATTTCAAACAGATTTTGATCTGATCGTCTAATTTATTTTTAAGCCTTTAATTATACTTTCTTATTTGAGTACCCATGTTTTAGTTTGGAATTAGTCATCAGAATAAGAATGAGGCTATGGGTTGGCTTAGCTTCTCATTACTGGCTCTAACATTACTCCTGTCTCTTGCAGATAAAGCTGTCATGGCTCCTAATCTAGACTCATTTGGCCGAGATCGCGCAGCATACCAAGAGCACAGTCGTCAGAGGAGGATAGCTGAAAGAGAAGCACGAAGGTACCAACTTGTTCTCACATTCCTCTCCCCGTGGAAATGCTGTATTGTGCTGTACTTTTGGCCACAAATGCGAAACCAATTACAGTTACACAGAAACGAATAATGTGAATCCAGCTATAGATTTGTAAAAAAAAAAAAGGTTTTCTGTGCATCAGATTTTAAGTCTTGACCATGAGAGTGTCACCTTAGTGCCAAGTTGGTAAAAGGCAATTTCTGCTCATGTTTTTAATTTGGCTTCCTTTGTATTTGTGGATGGATACAGGACACGTCGACGACAAGCCAGAGAGCAGAATGGAAAGAGGGCAGAACATAAAGAAGGCTTATCATCTGATGACGAGGAGACTTCTACTGACATCACCAGCTTCAACATGGAGAGAGGTATGTTCCTGTATTTAAAAAAAAAAAAAAAACATTAAAAAGTAAATGTATATTGTATGCAGTGTTCAACAATGTTAACTAAAAAAAAATAAAAGAAATCTGTCAAAATCTTGTTTAAATTTAACAAACTGAATTCAATGAATTTCTCTGAAATAAGTCAAATTATTTGAATATAACATTCAACAAGAAAACAAATGGTTTTCTGTTTAGGAATATAAGTTTAAAAAAAACTGCACCAAAGATGTGCGTTAATATTTTTCCTGCCTTTTTTAGTAAACAAAGAGTAAATTTGAAAATGAATGAAAAACAGTAGTTATATTTTTGCATTGAAAGTATCGTTTTGATTAAAGAGCCTGTGCACACTGGTTACAGAAACCTAAAAATGATTTAGGTAATTATCAATACTGTTAATTTAGGGCAGCTGTGGCATTTACCTTACATTGGTTGTTAGTCTAATAAATGTATTACGTACCATACATATGAGATTCAACTGATATTGAAAATAATTTTTTAAAATCTGACGTGATCTCTTTGTGCTACCCAGATCGTATAATAAGGGAAAGTAAGAAGGTATTTGAGGATGTTGTGGAGGACTTTCATTCTCTCGACTACATCAAATCCCACTTTGAAGTGTGGAGGAAGGAGTATGCCAACACCTACAGAGATGCTTACATAGGCCTCTGTCTGCCCAAGCTCTTTAACCCCTTAGTCCGTCTGCAGCTGATTACATGGAACCCTCTCGAGGTAGGGCATGGGTGTATTATCAGTGTAACCAGTTCCTTTTTGAAAGGAAATTGGATAAGGAATGGTGATGGAATCTTTTTTTTCTCTATTCACTGTGCAGGCGCAGTGTGCAAACTTTGAGTACATGCTCTGGTTTGAGTCGCTGCTGTTTTACGGCTTTGAAGAGAACAGCACGTTGCAAAAAGGAGATGGCGACATCGGCTTGCTGCCTGCTATAGTGGAGAAGGTCATCCTCTCCAAACTGTCAGGTTCGAGGCATAGCATGCTCAGAGATGTCCTTGGCTTGCAAGCCTGTAGAAAATTTCTCCTACTATATGCATTTCTCTCTACTTTGTGTATGTGGCAGTGTTGGCAGAGCAGGTGTGGGACCCACTTTCCAGCAGTCAAACAACCAGGTTTGTGAGCTTCATTCACAGACTGCTAAAAGGCTATCCCACTGTGCTGCACGGGGACAACCGATACACACAGGTACTCCCCACCCTCATCATCTTTTTCCTCAAAATACATTGGCTGTTAGATTACCTGATCTTTTTAGAAGAACTGCTGTCATTACCTTGATTCCCCCCCCCCTTTCTTTTAGGAGCTATTGAAAACAATTGTCTTACGGACCAGGAGGACTCTGGATGAAGATGTCTTTCTTCCACTGTACCCCAAGAAGTATGTTCTTATTAATAACAATATTAACATTTGGATTCCACTTAGAATTTTTTCTATATTTACAATAAGCACTTAAAACTGCTTAAAGCAATCTCTCTTGCTTTTATTCAGCATCCTGGAGAACAAGAACAGTGGTCCCTACTTATTCTATCAGAGGCAGTTCTGGTCCTGTGTGAAGGTATGTGTGCAAATGTGTGTTCTTTTTGGTGTGTGTGTGTGTGTGTGTGTGTGTGTGTGTGTGTGTGTGTGTGTGTGTGTGTGTGTGTGTGTGTGTGTGTGTGTGTGTGTGAGTGTGTGTCTGTGTGTGTGTGTGTGTGTAAATTACTTCCTCCAGTCAGTTGCTGAACTGATAGCATCACATGAATAGCTTGCCTGATTGTTGGAGATCACACAATGAGATCTGTATAATTTGAAAAGCAGCTGCAGCGGCCTGATAATCAAAGTATCTTCACACTGATATTATGTACTTTTGTGTTGCTGCCTTTGAGTCCAGTCTAACTCTTGTCTCCTTCATGCTTAGCTGCTGGGCAACATCCTGCAGTGGGACGGTATCTTATCAATGTCCTCTCTGAAAGACTTGGCCTTGGACAGCACTCTCAACAGATATATCCTCTCTGCACTGCAGACCACAGATACATGGGAGGAAAATATTCAGAAGTGCCAAAAGGTAGATAAAATGTAATCACTTAGTAGGGGTGGATTTCATTCGATAGATAAATCAGATTAAACTGAGCATTGCAGATTTCTTTTATTTAACAAAATATCCTTCCATCCATCATGAACGGATATTATGTGTGAGAACATTGTACCGATATCACTACGTCTGTGTAGGTTCTCAGTCATCACTACTTCACTTGTTTTTGAGAAAAACTGAATTTAGAACTTTTCTCTGACCGTAGTTTTACTTGTCATATATAGTTTTAAACTGATAACTGCGCTTTCAGCTGATTTGTTTTAAAAGTGCTGTAAACCTTGATATTCCAAAGCAGATGAGAAGATTTCACATTTGGTAATATAAGAATTAGTGACACAAATCTTTGGTCCTACCTATTAAATTTTGTTTAAAATGATATATTTTACAAACTGTAAAAATTACTGCTCACAAACTGTAAGGCAGTAATTTTAGTTTGCTCATGTGACAAACTGTGATCGATACATCATTTTTTTCCCCACCTTGCATACTCGTTATTTACAACCTTGTAAAATACAATAAGATTTGTTGGCTGAGATCATTGTGGTAAAGAGTGAGCATGCACAAACAAAATATTTTGAAGGAGGGGTCTGTTGTACCTGTTTATGACTACATGGTCAGTTGCTATTTTTAAGTCGCATGATTATTAAAAACTGGCCCTTCTGCTGGGGTGTTAGATGTTAGTTGGTTATCTTTTTACCATTAGTGGCTCGCTGAACATGATAACACAAAGCTATTGTTTAATTCGTTCTCGTATGCTTCTCAGGTGGTGGAGTGCTTGCCATCGCACTGGTTTTCTGGATTGAAGGGCCAGCAGACGTTGCCTCAGTTGGAGCCATTCTGTCGCTACCTCACCCACCTGGCCAACTCAATCCACCGCAGCGCACTGGTCGGGTCTGATATTGAGCGGCGCACTTCAAAGTAAGGACCTCTACATGGCTTTGTATATACAACTTGGCGCCTTGAATTTACTAATAGCTATATCTGCAAGAACGGTATTGAATGTGCTTTAGGAACAATTGCATTGTCGGTGTTGTTTTATCATATTAACTCTTCCTTTTTCACAATGAGTGCTTTTAAGCTGTGTTGTGATGAGTATTTTTTGTAGTGCTCATAGTGCATGTCATGTCATGTCTTACAACAGGGAGCAGGTCAAGGATGTTGTGAAGATGTTGGGCCAAATGAATGCCCTGGACCACATCATAGCTGTGGCAGCAGAGCATGGGATTAAAGACATCAAACCACTTTTAGAAGTCAAATCATAGAGGAGAAGCAACTTTTCATCCGGATTACAGATCACTAAATGGGATTCCCAGAGAAGGGATGTGTCACCCAGCTTAATAACTCAACAACTGAGACCATGACTGAAAAAAAGAAGATCTTGTAAATATTGTAAATATTGTATAGAAAGGTGTGTTTATACTGATGCTTAAATTAGGCCTTGTATTGTCAGCTCAAAGAGACTGTTCACTGCTGGCAATATTTTAAATGTGTAGAAGTTCTTGACATGGATTATTTTTTGAGACTCTGATTCCTGAATGAACACTATTCACTCCAACTCTGTACAGCAGACTCATCTTTGCTATACGAGCTAAAAGGTCAGATGCACGCAGGCAAAGAATGGTATCCAACTTTTGTTTCCTAACAGTCCAGATGTGATCTTTCTGTGATCCCTGCTTCATCCTGTTAGTATTCCTCACACCTCTCTGTTCAAATGCTCTTTAAGAATTTGAGGGCTTAGTTTTCAGCTTTGCAAGAATTCTGTTTTAGTCGTTTATTTGCCTGTGAATAAAATGAACATTTGAATGATTCTGTCTTGCTGCCATTAAGCAACACGATGTCCTGTTTTATGTAAGTATTATGATCATAAAGGAACAATCCAAACTAACACCCAGTGTTCTTCACCGTAGGGTTTTTAAAACTACAATATCTCTTTAAACTTGGGGAAAATGGGTATCACTGATTTATTTAAAATGATAACATGGAAAACGTTTTCAAAAAATTGCAAACCGCCTGTTTCTACACTCTTGGCAACTCTGTTTATGTGAAATGATACTTTGTTACTGACTTCAGCCAGCTGCCGCATGTGGGATTTGGTGTCATCCAGTGCGATTTCAGCCAGGAGGCGATTGCGCAATAGTAAAGAGCGGGTGGGACAAGCTGTTTTTGCCTTTCTATCCCCTCCTCTAGCTCAACTACCTAGACATAGCCACTCAAGACCTAAATATATATTTTCTACATTTAAAGACGAGACTTTCCTGACCAGCGTCGTGTGAGACAAGAGTTTGGGGGTTCTACAGCTTCCTCTTCTCGGGCCTCCCAGGGAAACTGTAAATACCTCTCCTCCGTATGCCCGTTAAGGTAAAGTACTGCTTACAATAGCTACGTAGCGACTGCATGAAAGTGATCGGGCACTTAACACTACTGTATAGCAGGCTTGACTGCTGTCCAAGTTAGTGTCAGGGATCTTTGAGGAGACGCATTTTCCTGTGTACATTTGAGTAAAGCGAATAGGGGGTCCATGCTCTTTTCACTCGGACCCCCATTTTTACTGCTCGGTTGTCTGTGCTGCCGTCTTCTGCAGCGTGTCTGTGTGCAACTGTATCCTAGTTAAGGAAGCTTCTGTTAATTCTACATTAAGGGGGTACTTGTGATGCATCCTTTGAAGGTGCAATCACACAAAATGAACTGCAATTCCCGGACACGTGACTCTAAGTTATCCAACGGTGGCCTGATGCGTGCAAGGATTCTTGCCATGTAAGATCTGGAGCACCGTGCAGGATTTAAAACTGCTCTAAACCCAGGACTGAGTGGGACCTGAACCTGAACTATCAATCGGTGGTCTTCCTCTTGTCCTCGATCGAGGACAGTAACAGTAGAAATTAAAATCACCGACGCCCCGATTTGACATTACTCCGATTTCCAGTTGTACAATAACCTTTTGTTTTCAGTACAGCTGTCCGGGAGTACATAGCTACTGGAAAGCTCATTTAAATTGCAATTTATAGACAAATTGCAGCAAGATTGTTGCTATCGTAAACCCCGTTTATTGACGAACTTCAGAGAGACAGCGTTTGATATTTTTGTAATTACTACAATAGTTACATTACTTATTTTCCCCAATTACTGTAGCAGGCTTTTGGCTTGAGAGTCTGGGTTGTTTCCCAGTGTCTCTCTCTCTC